GGGGGAGGGTGACCTACTCCTCTCACACAACTTAGAGAAATTCTGTTCTACCATACAGGTTGACACTTCCATGGCTGGAGACTCAGCATGAAAAACATTCTCCAGTGAGGCCACCGTGGTTACAGCAGTTAAATCCTGCATCCCAGCATGAACACAATCTGCATAAATTTATGGTTTTGGAACGTGGCAACTTCTGTGGTCAAAAGTTTGATTTTTTTTTTTTGGTTTCAATTCATTGACACAGCTGCTACAAAAAAAAAGGCTTGCCAGTGACCATGCACTGGAGCAGGGAGTAATTAAACTGCAAAATCCTTTGCTGGTGGACACCAGAGAGGTGACGTGGCGCTTTGAAAATGTGGAGGAATGCCTGTCGTGCTTCACTCCAAGCCGCTGTGGGAGCGAGGTCACCGACTGCAGGAAACACATGACTTGAATAAATCGGCCATAACGACTGACAGCAGTTTCAACACGTGGACACATATGAAAGCCAATAACAGCTTTTAAAATTGTGCACCATAAACATATCCCACATAGAAATTCTGGGACAAGACAGCACTATGGGAAACTAAACCCTTCACTTAAAACTAGCTGGTCTACACAGACTAATGGTAACTACAAAAATATACTACACAAATGTATCATGTTAGGTTTATACAGCCTTTCCTTCCACGATGCACGTGTGGGATGTTCAACCACTAATTTAACAGGAATGCTGGCAGCATCCACTTTACATTTAACCCACTTTAACCCCACTACATTGTTTATGGGTCAATCTGCATGCAGGAAATGACATGCTCCCTGAATGAGCAGTTTGCGCTGCTCCCTTGCCGCTCATGCATCTGCAGTAAGCCGTCGCATTTCACCAGATCACAAGCCGGCACTCCGACTGCTCACGATAGCAGCGATGCAAACGAGGGGAGGGTACACAGACCCATTTTGACCAGCAGATATACGGTAACTAGGTCCTGGCAGAAACCGGGTGCAGTTTCAGATTCATAAAGGTTACGCTACTTTCACAATACTATCAAGGCTTTTTAAAGCCCCTGCCAGCTTATTGAAAATTCTCTCTGCTTCCATTTATAGCCGTGTGCTCCTGTATCAGAACTGACATTGAAATAGCCTCATAGGGTTATGTGCACTTGGGTCACCTCATCCCACCCCCACGGCCAAATTTACTTGGGACTAAAATATAAGAGCACCCTGCCCTCTGCTGAACTGAGGGTGTGGTGACCATTGCCACACACACACACACACACACACACACACACACACACACGAAATTCCATGGAAAAAGGGAGGGGGAAAAAAACTTAGCATTGTGTCAATTACAGTAGCAACCAACAATCACCATAGGATTTCCAGATGTTAAGTCATCCAGTAACACCTATTATTCTGTCATTATTCTGGCATTTGGGTCACGCATTTCCTGCCTTTCGGAATTCTATGCAGCTTTGTTTGTGTTCAGCATCGGCAGTACAACTTATGCCAGTTGAAAAAATAAACTTTGAAGGTTGCAACATACATTCAGCAATGGATTTTATGAATAGTTTTCACTAAGCAGTAAATCACACGCTACACAGTTTCCTTACTGCCTGGAATAGAAGCATCTACTGCATCAAACTGCAACAGATAAAGGAAATACCTCAAAAATATCAATTGTCCAGCATTAATCTGTAAGCTAGCAATCTAAAAAAAAAGTCATTATCAATATAACAATATAATATTTAATATAGTTTAGTTCAAATTCTTGAACTTGCATTTGTGTCAATTTATGCACATTTTCCCCACAAAAAGGCATACAACTAAGGGTATTTCTATTTTTGACCACAACAATCTCAAAAAAACTCCAAAGAATCTCATTGGGACTGATTTAGAGAGTTGGCGAATTTAGGAATTCATTCATTTCAAGTAAATTCCAAAGAAATGTATTCAGTTCAGTTTTACTAAGGTGTTTTAAATTGGGGTAACTCCATTTTACACAGATGACAGATACTGTGGTTGAGATATGGATAAAAAAAAATCTTTCTTGTAGAGCATTAAATATGATGCTTTACATTTAAATGATACATAGCTTCCACTGTTCAAAGGAAATTGCCCACTAAAGAAAAAGCAAACAGCAATTCAAAGAACTTCTATCAACAAAGTACACATCAAATTGTTTACATGTCCAGTTATAAGGGTTTCTGTATTTCACAACCACAATAAGCAGCCATCTGTATACTACATTCAAATAGTTGTATCTGTCCTAAAAATGAGTCACCTGAAGTCAACCGCTGCAGAACCAAGAAAGTAAATGTGGTGGATTATTCGTTCAATATATTCCATTTTAACCCATTTCCAGGCTAGATTTTACCAGTATATATTCTTATAGCCCATTTATACAAATACATCAATAAAAACTACATTGAAAGCTAAAATAAAGATAATGCTAAGATATCTTTAAGATCTTTGTAGGAACAGATTAATCTTAGTGCAGGACAACAAGCATCCAGCAAAAGTTCTTACCCCTTGGTTTCCAGAAAATCTGATTGAGGGATGGGCAGACAGGCTCTGGAAATAGAAGAGACAGTAGAATTAAATGAATGAGAAAAACTCAATATCAAATGCAACACAAGTACACAGAAATCTGGGAAGCAGGAGTCGCAGGAAAGCTGCAGGCTGAGCTGCTAGGGCTACCGGAAGGACCAGGCTAGACAGAGATAGCGCCACCTACAGGGCTCTGACACGTGCTACACCCATAAAATGCAATGACAGTTGTAACACAGCAAGCACTTAAAACCGTAACTAGCTAAGCTCAATTCTGATAGCAGGTTGGACTGCAAGTTAGCCAGAGGGGAAAGCCTGTGCAGATCATGTGGAGTCCAGCTTGTGCCACGACACCAGGCACTTCACAAAATTCTATACTGGCAAGTATAATGGTAACTGAGCTCTTTGAATTTCATATCGGGAAGGTCTCCGCTCCGCTAAGGTTTTCGCTGCACTGATAGCTTCTTGCCAACCAGACTGAGGCGGTGGGTGGGAAGGAAAGGGGTAAACAGGATCTGGTCTTCAGGAGTGGTCTAGAGTGGTTACATGCAATGGTCCATAGCGGAGGAAGTAGAGCGGGACCCATGGCAGAAAAGCCCACAGAGCATACGGGACTTGCCCGAGACAGATGATTTACAGCAACCAAGAACAACAAAAGCCTTTGATGCAGCCTCTCTTAAGAGCCGTTCTTACTGTGCAGTTCCAGCAAAGGGAGAAACATTTCACTGACGTTACTATTGATTCTGATAAAACAATATTATTTTTTTTAAGCCACTGACCAGCTTCTCTACAATTTCCAAGTGTCACTCTAGCTCACTGTCTGAAGCTGTACCATATTAACAATACACTGGATGCATCTATTTCAGGAGCCTGCTTAACTGCTTCATTTCTCCATTCGGTCTATTGTCGGTGGCCAAGTGTGTGGCTGTCACTCCATGATTAATTTTGAACATGTCATGTCACTATTTATACTACACATAAGAGGAACAGCAATCGTGTGGCAGTAACCAGCAAGGAGGTCTGCCATCATCTAGTCCACACAAGCAAACACGAAAAGGGTTACCAGAAAGGAGATGAGTTTTCATAAACGGTCATCCACAGGGGACCTGGCGTAACTGCTGGCTGTTCTCATACATACTCATACCGTATTTGTCATCAAGCATGGAGTTTATATTGGCCCTGCTGAACCGCTAACGCAACGGCCTAGCTATGCTGCCACAGCTGCTTTTGTAATATATGACAGAGACCCTTAGATGCCAAACAAAATACGTAATCTTTTCAGAAAGTGAGATGATTGGAACTCAGAGCAGAGATCGGTGGCCTGTATGGCTGCACAAAGTATGCAATATTTTGGAAAAACTGAATATTGGGGGGGGTGAGGGCGGCATGCCCTCAAATTATCTACAATGGCCCATCAGACACTTCCTCAAATGCAGGAACTGCAGAACTTTTCATTTTCAGTTTGTATTCTTAACTTAGAGGCAATAGTAATACTCAGAGGCCAGTCAATCAACCCCCCCCCCCCAATAAGAAGAGAGTTACATACAGTGCACAACATGCAAAAATAAAGCTGGTATGCTACAGCAGCTCAACAAGCATGAAAGAGCATCTGGAATGGAAACAATTTTGCTCTTAAGTTACGGTCACACTCACGCAAAGAAATATTCGCCTCCCATTCAGTTCTATTATATCTGTTTGACCCGATGCCAGCGAAGCGGATATGCAAGGCATTTTCGCTATGACTTCATTTAAATAAACTTTGATCCGTGAATTTGCGTTGCTGAACCAATGCAGTGTGGCATGGGCGAGGTGGAAACCGCAGTGTCACAGCACTACAAAATGGAGGACACTTGTTTTATGTGCATTTACACTGATATGACAAAGCTTTTCAATAATAAACTGTCGTAGGGGAATGCTTCGTTACGACAAGAAAAAATACCGGCACACCGGTTATGCCTACCAGTTACGTCAGTGCATGTATATAACCACTCGCTAGCTATCATACTTCTTCAGAAATCCTACCATACACTATTAACAAAATCAACACTATGCATTAGCTGAACAAAAATACCTCGGTATAGTTAAACTAAAGCGGAATACTACATTATCTGGCCAAGATCATTCTTGCACTAATTGAATTAAATTAGCATTGGAAAGGAGAGCTTTTTAATATCTTTTGTCCTTGTAGCTGCTTAATACACACATGATTAAAGCCACAAAGTTGTCTGCCTGCTACATTAGAATCTTCACTGAATAAGTGTTTGCGTTTAGGCTAAAATCTGGGCTTATTCTATGTTGATTGATGGTGACTTGTTGGGGCCAATGTCATTATCGTACACTGAAACTGAAATGAAAACGAACACTAAAGAAAATACGTAAAAAAAAAAAAAAATAATAAAATAAAAATCCTGTCAGACTTTAAATCTGCAAAAAGTATCGCCACACAGGCAACATCTTTACCTTGTTTAAACATAGTATCTCTTTTAAAAGATGTTGCGGCTGCTGATCTGTCCCTTCCTTCATCATGACTTCCATTCTTATCGCTTTGTGTCGCATATGGCGTGATCTGCTAACCAAATTTATTAAGCATGAGGATACACCCAATTTACACAGAGTACCCTCCATCTTCCTTTCTACAACATGCATCTCATTACCTTTTTTAGGCATACTACTAATCTGCATACTGAATTGACGTAAATGTGTGTATAGTGCCAAAAGGCCGGCGTACATTATCTAAAGCCCTACAATGGCATATAATTTATTGTTGTCAAAATAAAATTAAATGGTCACGTTGATTTTCTGAAGGAAAATTTCATTTAGATTAATTGACCAATTCATAAAATAGGCAATAGATTAATCTATAAAAACAGTCATTAGTGGCAGCCCTAGAATATTCTCACCGAGACTTCATAATACAGAAAAGATACCGTGTACTATCCAAGCCTAGAGAGATTAGTGAAGCACCCAGAGCAGATTTGAATAACGACTTTACAGACGCAGTACGTGATAGCACTAAAACGGAATCGATGGGGAATAAAGTTGGCAACAAGGACTTACTCAGTTCAGAAAACAGTTCCAACCGTTCAGGTTCTGGGTAAATGAGCAGACAACCTCCTAAACATGATTACAATATGGGACCGGGGTGGGAGACGCAGCTTAAAAATTACATCGCATTCTCAGCGTGAATAAGATCTTCAGAGGCAGCACTAGGATACAGACTTTTGTAGCCTCAAAGATGCATATTATACAAAAATCATACAGGACTGCAACATCGACATGGCACCGTGCAGGAGAGAAATGCTGGCTTTTAAAAAGGTCACAAGTGGGCTTTCTTGGAGCACAGCAGGGAAGTCCGACATCAAGACTGAGCTAAAAGCAGCCGCAAGAACAGCATTGTCAGAATAATGTACCCTTCCCCCAGCCCAGGACCTCCAAAACTACCATTCAGCACATACATCCTAATGTGTAGATTTTTCAGCAGCAGAGATACGTAAAATAATCTGATAATCTGCTGCATTCTTGACTCACAGAAAAGCAACATTGCCCCAAGGAACCTTACAAGTCCCGAGTGTCCATTTCAGACAGCACAGGGTTCTGGTTGTTCCAGAAGTGACAGTGACATATTTATCCCTGACAGGGTGTCCTTTGGAAGGCAGAGCTAGCACAGTGCACCAAGAATGGCCAGATGCCCCCGCTTGCATCTAATGGCTGAAGTGTCAGGACAACAATGCTTCTAGCAATAGGGTACACCCCATCACAGAGGGTTCAAACAAAGTGAATCAGTGGGCTTCCCAATCACCAGACTTCCATGTCATGTGACTGCTACACGTGGGTAACAGAGTGCTGGGGTTTTTGTTACATTAATAACAATAAATCACTGATAATGCTACTGCTGTGGCTGTCCCAGTGCACAGCACATGTTGGTCACGCTTAGAGAAATAACGTACAATGGTCTGTACTTGCATAACGGACCATCTGCATTGTTTTTGCTAAACAAGCCACATGCTCCACCATTGCAGTGCAGTACGAGAATCCAATCCAACATTTATCATGTTTAAAAGGAAACATTTCTGCGCATTAAAAATGCAGAAAAGGCCACCAAAACGTTAAGCATCACAGCTGGACCCAAAAGGAAAATCCATGGCTCTTCATTCACACGGAAAACGCAAGCCGCAGTAACAAGCCTGTTCACCATGTGCTGACCAACTGAGATGTTCCCAGGGAGATTCGTTTTGGTCTGGGGCTGTACGGCATATAAATAGCAGCTCTTAGCAGACATCAGGAAGCTGGGCATCTTCTTCTCCATGCAACAGGTTGCGCAGGTATATGAACGAAAACCGAAAGTGTCTGCGGGCCAGATGGCCAGTCCTTTGCCAGTAAAATAAAATTTAAAAAAAAAAGAAAAGAAAAACTGACTTTCCTTATAATTGCTGCTGAGGCAATATTATTGGAAACCATCACAGGCATGCAGTCAGTGCGCATGGTTGTCATACCTGGTTGACTTCGGGCCAAAGGAATCACATAGCAGCAAAGCTCATAAGCTACGGCACTTGAGAGGTCAAGCTTCATAGGGTAGCACAGTTGTGCTGGATGTGATCCCACAACAAAAGCAGTTTATGCACATTAAATTGGCCATACAAAAAGCATGAATGCCTGCACAAACATGCACTCTGACAAGACGCGTTAAGTTCCTGCATGCTGTACTACACTTCTAAAACATCACACACTCTCCAAACCTGTCTGGAGGTTCTTGGGATTTGGCCTTCAGGCTACTTTTGGGGCTCCCAAAAAATTAATTTCACAGCAATTTCATGAAGAGGTTTTGACTTAAAATTCTCCAGAAACTCTCCACATTAGTCCCCTATAGACCAGATGAGACTGCACAGCTCATAGATAACTGGCTACATGAGAATTCTATGCATTGTTCACCCCAGGGCTAACTCAGGGGGGCCCAACTCCAGTCCTGGGGGGCCACAGCCCTGTGTAGCTTAGTTCTTTCCCAGCTCCACCATAAATGATTCAGC